ATAGAGTGGTCATACAACTCAATAAAAGGAAGGCAAAGAGTCCAATTAAAAAATCAGCAGAGGACCTAAATAGCCATGTCTCCATAAAGGACATACAAATGGCCAAGAAACATATGAAGAAATTCTCAACATCACTAATCATCAGAGAGATGCAAATTAAAACGACTATGAGGTTATCACCTCCCACCTGCCAGAATGGCTGCCGTCAACATATCATCAAACAATGAGTGCTGGCCAGGGTGAAAATGGGACTCTAGTACACTACTGGTGGTAATGCAGATTGGTGCATCCACTATGGAAAACAGTATGGTGTTTCCTCAAAAAATTAAAAATTGATTTGCCAGGTGACCCAGTGATCCCTCTTCTAGGAATATATGCTGAGAAGCCTGAAGCACCAATCAGAAAGAATATATGTATCCCTATGTTCAAAGCAGCAATATTTACAATTGCTAAGATCTGGAAACAGCCCAAGTGTCCCTCAATAGATAAGTGGATAAAAAAGCTGTGGTACATATACACAATGGAACACTATGCAACTGTAAGAAAGAAAGATCTCCAATCCTTTGAGAGGATATGGAGGGACCTCAAGAGTTCTATGCTAAGCATAATAAGCCAATCAGAGAAAGAGAGCGTATGATCTCCCTTATTAGTGGAATATAATGAAAAAAAAAAAAAAGAACAATAGAGACCCAGAGACATAGAAAGGAGAATGGTTCAGACTGAGAAACTTCAGAGGAGGGATGAGATAAACCAAATAACTTATATGCATGTTTGCAAACGTGCATTATATGCAAACATGCATTATATGCAAACATGCATTTAAGTTATGCACATAGACAACAATGGACATAGACAACAATGCTTGAAGGAGTGGGGGAGTGTGGTGGAATCGGGAGAAAGTTGTATGGGGAGAAAAGGACAAAACATCTGTAATAAAAATAAATTAATTAAAATAAAGTCTTTTAAAAAGTCAATTAATTTGATAAAACCCATTAGAGTGATTGAGAAAGAAAATCACAAATTATCTATACCAGAGAAAAAATAGGTCATTATCACTAGAGATCTCAGTGATTTTAAAAGGAAAATAAATAAAAATTATTTAAAAACTTTATGAAAAATTAATCAATTTCAATGAAAATGTTAGAAAACCAAAATTATCTGAAATCTTCATATCTTTATAGCTTAAGTAATAATTATTAAACACCTCCCCTGAAAAAGAAGTCATTGGTGAATTCTATCAAATAATTTGAAATTATTACCAGTTTTCCAAAATTAGCTTTAAAATATTTTATGAAGCCAGTGTTACCCTGATAATAAAACCAGTCAAAGGAACTACAAGAGAAAACAACGAAAGACCAATATTTCTTGTATATATGGAGTCAACTGTTAGGGAAAAAAATACAGCAACAAGTAATACATAATGAAAATAATAGAAGGATAATGCATCATGCCCAAATGTGGTTTATCTGGGAAAAACAAAGTTATTTAAACAATTGAAAACCATCAAAAAGTGTTTTAATATATCAACAGGAAAAATAGAAAAAAAACACATTATCATCTCAACACTTGAAGAATCTATTCATAATGAAAACTCTGGCAAACAAAAAATAAAAAAGAACTTTCTCCAAAAAATCCTCTATGATAAACCTTTATTTAACATATTTAATGGTGAAAGATCAAAGATTTTGACTCTAAATCAGTACAACAGCAGCCACACATCCCAATTCTATTTTACATTGTACTAGAGACCCTAAACACAGGAGCAGGCACACACACAAAAAAAAATTTAAGATTAAATAGGATAATGTAAAACTGTATGTACAATATATGATTGTACACATACAAAATTCTAATAAAGATAAATTAAAGGTCCCAGAACTAATAAGTTAGTTTAACAAAGCTGCAGGATATAATTTCATTATAAAATGATCAATATAAAATTTCGATATATTTGCCACAAACAACTGAAAATTCCATCATCACATCAACAGACACAATTAGAACAAACAATATAGATCAATATATTTACAGTTAATAATGTCTCCAAAAATAGTGAGGAAACACTGCATTTTGAAGGGTTCTAATCATGACGAGACTAATTCAGACATCCTAACAAAATAAACTACTTTCAAAATTGGACAAGGAATAACTTGACAATATTTAAAATCAGTGGAAGATTCAAAGAGCTATTAATATGTAAAATCTTTTCATCCTTCCTATCATTTCTTCACCATTATAGCTATTATCATTATTACATTCAGTATCACAAGCAACATAATCATCATCATTGTAAAAAAACTATAACATAATGAAAGATAAATAAAAATTTAATAAGCAGTGTTCAGTATTAATATAAGCTCCATAAAATGTCATTTGTCTTTGTTTAAATTAACCAGAAAAATAAACACACACACAAACAAAACAAAAAAGCAAGGCACGAACTTTATTGCAGGAAATTTGTGAATGTGATCCTAGGAAGCAAGGTTAAAGGAATAGAGATAAAAAAAAAAGAGAGAGAGAGAGAGAGAGAGAACAAGGAAAAATCAACCCTATGTATGTTTTCTTGAGATGGCTAAAATGGCTCTATTCTGTTGGGACCACAAAGAAGTGTACAGAATATTTAGTGGATTTGTCCTTAGATGGCCATAATGGTGATCCGATCAAGTAGTTGAAGGTTGCTCCTGTGAAGGGAGTAACTACTTTCATTCTAAGGGATGTTTTATGGATAGCCTAAGGGAGAATCTAATTAATATTTGTGGATTTCAAAATGTTGACCAGGTCATTAAAATGCTTCCTGTGAAGGAAATACTTTTTGCGGGAATGTGAACTTAAGATATAGAGATCTTCATACTTTGTGCCCACTTTAAATCAATTCGCATCCCTCTTCCCCACAGTTTATTATCTTTAAATATCCAGTCTTGTAGATTCTAAACCCTCGCCCAAATACCCAAGATATTTGCCACTGCTCAGGCTATGTAGATCCCAATCTCTAGCACTTCTCTCACAGAAGATAGAAAAGAATAGTTTGCAAATATGCATGCTGGGACTTTTACCATTTGCCATTGTCTGTAGGTCTTATTCTAAATGGAGAATAATATGGAAAAGTGATTTATTTTTTCTTCTAACTAACATATTGAGATGACATGTTCTTAAAACAAGACAGCTTTTTTCTTTCTCTAGTAGTGAGTTTTGGGGAACCATCATCTGGCCATTGGTGTGAAGTGATTAAAAAACATTGGTGCAATAGAGGCAGATGCCATAGGGATTTGGGATCCCTGTTTGTATTATTTACTTGCATTATCTGGATCTTTTTTAGCTTGTTCCCGAATATACCATTTTGGTCATCAGATAGATTAATATGCCTACTTGATCTTATAGTTCTGTGGATCTGAAAGTACACAAACTATGATGAAAATATTAAACTTTAGTAACATAGTAACTTGGTGTTTCCCAGATGCATGCTCAACTCACAAGGGTTCAGTAGCACACCAGCAGCCGAAACAGTACTCTGGGGGTCTGCCCTACAAATCTTTGATACTTGTCAGAGGTTCTACATGAAACCTAATCTATCAGGAATATCTTTAGTTTAAAAAAATCTTTATTGATATTAGAGAGAGAGGAAGAGAGAGCGAGAGAGACATCAATGAGAGAGAACATCAATTGGCAGCCTCCTGCATGCCCCCCCACTGGGCATCAGTCCCACAACCTGGGCACCTCTTGGTGCATGAGCCAATGCTCAAACACTGCGCCATGCCATACAGGCAGAACATCTTTAGTTTTATCATATCTTAATGGTCATAAGTAACAAAGGACAAGGCATCCTGCATCACGTCCTGCGCCTGCTGCAGTGCCCTCTCTGTACATCATCTCCTGACAAAGGTGTCCTTGTTGCCATCAGATCATTTGTTAATCTGGTTCAACAATCATTCCACAACAGTGTGTTTACTATAGTCATTTCTGGGATAACTATTTAATATGGGTTCCTCCCAAATCAGAGCCTGAGATAAAAGTTTGAATGCAAGTACTTTCAGGAAAGATTGTGGAAGCAGGTGAGAGGGAGGGAGAGAGTAAGATGTTATCAAGTTTGCTGCTGTAGGTAATTGGGTTTGATTTTCTAAGACATCTGAGAAGCAGAAAATGCCTTCAAAATTGTTTATCAGAAAGATAAGAGGCTGGCTCCAGTCACTGAATGGATAATGGATTTCCTAATCCCTGACTGTGTGGTCCTAATTTTATAAAATCTGATAGTGTACTTTAAGAATAATGATGATAATACCAAATTCACTAGGTTTTAAACAGGACAAGGATACTGTAAAATGGCTCTTCTAATAACAAAGTAAAAGCTGAATAACATCATCTATAAAATCATTAGAGGCCAAGACCTCAGGCTGAGCCACGGCAAAATGAAGGAGATTTATGCAGACCAGACCATACTAATAAATCATACTTTTTTTTTTTTTTATCCTCACCCGAGGACATTTTTGCAGTTTTTGTTCAGACAGAGCGGGAGGGAGAGAGAGGAAGAGAGAGAGAGAGAGAGAAACATCGATGTGAAGGGACACATCGAGTGGTTGCCACCCGCCCGACCAACCAGGGCCGGGGACAAACTGCAACCGAGGTACATGCCCTTAGTGGGAACTGAACCTGGGTCTCTCCGGACCGCAGGCCGACGCTCTAACCGCTGAGCCAAACCGGCCAGGGCAATAAATCATTCTTGTATAGTGATCACAAGCCAGTAATTGGCTTATCTGAATCAGCCTTAAATTATAAAATCATGCAATAAATGTAAGATTAGATTACATATGACAAAGCAAGTGTGATATTAGAAAATATTGAGATAGATATTTGGGACTTGGGTTATGTATTTTGATCTGGGGATTATCGGTCACAGGTTATGTTCAACCATTTTTAATTATTTTTAACAGCTTGGGCTTTAAATATACCAAACTTATTTTCATATAAACTATATGTGTAAGCCAAATAAAAATAAAGCATCTTACATCGCTTCTGGGTTCATTATGCAGACTGCTCCTGAGCACTGGCATTTTTCAATGTCATCGTAAACTATTCCCATACTAAGGCTTAGTAATTGAGTTATAATAACTGCAAGTGATTCCAGACTTAGGGCTTTGGGGTGCTGGAAAAAATATATGTACATGTATAAACTCACATTTTAAGAGGTAATTCATTTACTGAAAGAATAATATAATTATTAAAAAATAGTCATATGAGAAAATGGCATGAGGCTTCTAATACATTAACCACAGAAATCCTTCCACATTGGCCTAATTTATTACAGGTACCATTATCAATATGAAAAGGTATAAACAGTGAAATCCAAAATTTTAACAAAATGTAAATGTATGGTTCATTTGGTAACATCAGAACAAGATAAAAATTGCTCCAGTAACATAATTATATATAACAATAATCATCATCACATTTGTGCTAACAAAAACATTAAAGAAATACACCTACAGTGTCATTATTAACAAGTTGTGCTCATTTATAATTTGATTATTTAGACATATTTTACATAAATATTTCAAACTTTTTAAAAAATCATAAATTAACCCATTGTATTAATTCATATTATGGTAATAATGACTGATAATGACAATGTCGACTTTCCACTGTTGTTTAAACTATTTTCGAAACCAAAATGTCTTTATCATAAGATACCTATCTAACATATTTTGCCCATATTAAAACATGAGGTTTAAGAAAAATCCACAGTTCGCACCATATCTTCAAATATATCTAAAAACACTTTTATGAATATACTTCAAGATTGGTTTCCAGAAATACATTTTGATGTATTCTGTTTGCTTCTCTAAATCAACTTTCCATCATTTTCCACCCTGCTCTCCAGCCCAGGATGACACCAAGGGATTATATCAGAAGGTTCCTGTGCCCTCTGTTTTGCTGTGGTCTAATGAGGGAAGAGAGCGTGAGAAAAGAGAGTGTTTATTACCATCATTGTCAGGGCATCTATGATGGTCTGACTCCTTGAGTGGAGGTCTCTACATTCTGTCTGTGACCCTAATAGAAAGACTCTGTCCCTTCTTCAAACCTGGGCGGCAAACTAAATAGCTTTATTACTAGCTCTGAGAAGCTGCAAAGTCCCTACATCTTGCATTGATGAATGGCCCCTTTATCAAATTACCATAGTTGAATGTACCACCCTCTTTTAGAGAGAGGGAGAAAAAAGAAAAGAAAAATAAGGAGATAAAGGAGGAGGAAGAATAGGAAGAGAAAAAGGAGAAAAAGGAGTGGGTAGAGGATGGAGAAGTGTAGAAGGGGCTGGAAGGAAGAGAGGAACTATTTGATTCTGGTAAATTTCAATAATGTAAATCATAGACTATAAATAGTAACATAATAAATAATAGGATAGTATATTATTAGTGTAATTATTTAAGATTTTTGTTGTTGCTGTTTTCAGGATATTGTAGAAAAGGCCTGGCAACCATTCAGTCAATGTAGCTTTAAAATTGTTTCTCTTCCTCTTTGTTGCTCCTGTTCCTTACTATCTTTGATAACTCAGTAGGATGAAAATAACAACATCCAAAGTTTTACTTCGATCTTTGGTATAAAGATTGTCCCCTGCACTCCCCTGTGCAATTGCTCTTTTCTTCTCTATCTTTCTACTTGTGCATCTAGTCTGGTCTTTCCTTTCATTGTGTGATAGGGTCAAAGATATGGTTTGTATTGGAGATGATGTTCCTTTGCATTCCCTTTGTGGCAGTTTCACACTGGCCTTCTATTAGTCAGCTAGGTCTGTCAGTACAAAATATCACAAACTCGGTTGGTTTAAATGACAGAAATTGATTTTCTCACAGGTCTGGAGATTAGAAGTCCAACACCAAGTTGCCCAAAGGGTTGCTTTCTGGTGAGGTCTCTCTGACTAGGTTGTAGAAGGCTATGTTTTCACAGTATCCTTGCCTGGCCTTCTATTGTATATGCACAGAGATAGGTATCTCTGGTGTCTTTTCCTCTTTTGTAAGGACATTAGTCCTATTGGAGGCCCACTATGATAACCTCCTTTAGCCTTAATAACCTCTGTAAAGGCCCAATCTCCAATATATAGTCATGTTGGGGGTTAGGGCTTCAATAAACGAATTTTAGGAGTACACAGTTTAGTCCATAACAGACAAGTATGAAAAACTTGAAAAAGACATAAATTGGAGTATGAGAATTTCCTATAAAATATTGTTATGATTACTTCTGTTTTGAAAATAAGAAAACATTAAAATTATATTTAACATTGGAATTTTTCAATATTTTGTATAAAAGTTTATAACTAAGCAGACAAGTTTCTTTTGGTGAATCTACTTAGGACAATAGTTGTCAAATAATAATAGCAGCTGACATTTATTTTTTTCTTTTCATAGATTTTTAGAGAGAGACAAAAGAAAAGGGAGAGAGAGATAGAAACATCAATGAGAGAGAACATGGATTGGCCGCCTCCTGTACGCCCCCCCTCTGGGGATGAGGCCCACAGCCTGGGCATGTGCCCTGACTGGGAATTGAACTGGTGACCTCTTGATGCATGGGTTGACACTCAACCACTGAGCCACATCGACCAGGCTATTTAAGACTCCTTATGGGCCAATCATTAGTATTCTTTGTTGTACTCCATGAGATTACTTTCTATAAATACGCCTGCTATGCTTGCTTTGTAAAAACTTCTATTCTCTAATATTAGAAATTAAGATTCTATATATGCCTTTTAGAGAAAGTTTGTTAATACTGTTTAAATGTTCTACATTTTTCAATCTGATAAATTAATTATTCAAGTATAATTATTCCTATTAGTAGCTCTTTCAGTGATTTTTTTTTGTGTGTGTGCATCTTAGTTTGGAATATATGAGTTTAGATTTATTATATGATGCTAGTTAAATTTTATTTCATTCTAGCCCTGGCCAGTTTGGCTCAGCGGTTAGAGTGTCGGCCTGCGGGCCAGAGAGTCCCGAGTTGGGTTCCCACTAAAGGTATGTACCTCCATTGCAGTTTGTCCCCATCCTCAGTTGAGGTTGTGTGGGTGGCAAACAGTTGATGTGTCTTTCTCACACTTATGTTTCTCTCTCTCTCTCTCTCTCTCCCTCCCGCTCTATCTGAAGATAAATGCAAAAATGTCCTCAGGTGAAGATAAAAAAAATTTTATTTCATTCTAAATAATAAATCATTTAAAATTAATATGTATTTCACCTGAAGAACATTTTACTGCTTTAAACTATTGGTACATCAAATTTTCTCTAGTGATATATTTGGTTCTTTTTCTTAATATTTGGGATTAAAATTTCTGTAGCATTATATATGGGTTGGAAATTTATAAAGAGAAAACAATATAATTTTTATTTTTAATAGAAATTAAAATATTGATTTGATTATTGCCTTTTGAAATTATGATAACATTTTATCTATGTGATGTTTCTATACCTTTTAAATAATGGAGTGCACAAATCTATGTGCCTTGATGTACTTATATATGCATATACATATATGTATGCATAGAATACTTATTTACACATATATACACATTTTTATACATCATTTATTTATAATATATGTATGTATGTTTGAATATATATATATATTTACACACACACATATTTGTGAAATGTGTGTGTGACACATATCTGCAAAACTACCACACTGTGTAAAATATTGGATATTTTTATCACCCAGGAAGTTCTCTCCAGCAAGTTTCTAGCCATTACGTCCCCATAATTTGTTAACTTCTATTCTGACTTTTAACAATATTGTATATCTTTACCTACACATTAAGATAGTGTAATAAATATTCTCTTGTTTTGGTTTATTTTGTTCAATATACAGTTTTTGATATCTATCAATGTTGAGTATATAAAATTATTTTTTTATTGCATATATTATGTTCCAGACATGTTTATACATTTCATGGATAAAAGGACTCAATATTATTAAGATGTCAGTGTCCCTCAAATTGGCCTAAAGATTCAGTTCAAAATTAATTAAAAGCAGTTTTTGTTGAAATTGACAAGCTGAAATGCAGAGAACTCAGAATACCTGAAAAAGTGGTAGTAGGGTTTATACTACCATTTTTGATGATTTAATAAAAAAACTATTGTTATTGCCCTGGCTGGTTTAGCTCCACAGTTAGAGCATTGGCCCATAGACCGAAGAGTCATGGGTTCAATTCCGGTCAAGGGCATGTACCTCCATTTTGGTTCAGTCCCTGGTCCTGGCCGGAGTCCTGCAGGAAGCAATCAATCTCTCCCCCCCCAACCACTCTCTCTCCCCCTCCCACTCTATCTTAAAATATATGGAAAAATATCCTCTGGTGAGGATTATTTTTTCTAAAAAAAACAACCTATTTTTATTAAGAAAATGTGTTGTTAGTGGAAGGACAGGAAAAAAAAATACCAATGATGATGAGAGTCCATAGAAATATGATGCCCTGATTTAATAACAGAGGCACCACTAAGGGATTAGGTAGGAAGAGTGGTGAGTGTTTAACAGCAGAAGACAGAGCATTACTGTTTGCTTTCACATCTTACTCCAGTAAATATCAGCTGCTGCTGCTTTTTCCAACAAAAGGTCAGGCAATGAAATGAAATGTGGAGAATAAGAAAGAAGAGCCCAGTCAGTGTGGCTCAATGGATTGAGCATCATCCTCTGGACTGAGAGGCCCAGGTTCGATTCCCGGTCAGGGCACAGGCCGGGGTTGTGGGTTTGATCCCCAGTAGGGGGCGTGCAGTAGGCAGCCGATGTATGTTTCTCTCTCACATCAGTATTTCCATCTCTCTTTCCCATCCTCTCTAAAAATTAAAAAAGAAGAAGAATATTAGAAAATCGTTCTGATTGCTCCTTCCACTGCAGAGACCACTGCCCTCTGCCCATGAGCCACACACTTTCCAGTAAATGATGGCATTTTTTTCCTCTTGGTAGCTAACCTTTTAGAGAGAATGAGTTTTGTTCTACTTTTTGTTGATCAGTAAAGGTGATGCTTCACATGAGAATCTTATGTCAGTGTTGCATGTGACCTGGTAAGTCAGCCAAATTCCAGCTTTTGAGACTAGGTAATTGCTTGACCACGAATATAAGTCACATTTTCTAAACTATCATACATAAATTTTAAAATTGATATTTGTGTCTCTATTTGATTCATCTCTACATATCTTCACTTAGCTTTACTTGTACACTGAAATAAGGGTATTATGCATTGCCTTCCTCAAATTCCAGCAGACATTGTACAATCACACAAATAAAAGAGCAAGTCCTACATGTCAGAATAACCACAGCATTATGAAAAAGGGGCAAAAATATACCAATTTTAAATACAGCAAGATTTTTTACTAAGATAAGCAATGCCAGTTAAGGCATTTGATTCTATTATACTTCACCTGTGCCCCACAAAGCATTTGAAGGCAATTGATATTTTCAAAACTTTCATTTTAATCTGGTTCATAATTATGTTGGCTCTAATTAAGAAAATGTTCAAAATATAAGCTTGAACTTAAAATCAATGAATGATTAAATACTGAGCACATGAAAATTTATGAGCATCTTATAAGACTAAAATAGATCACTACATTAATTTTCTAAAAAGAGTATTTTGAGTTCATGAGAGGAAACAGCAAAAACTGTATAATGAGGACGTGCTATAGTTCAAACATTTCTCTCAGCAGCAGAGACAAAGATTAATAGATTCATTATGCCAATATTAATATACTTAGACATAGTTAAGAAAATATTTAACTATATATGATCTAAATAGTATTTTATTTATTTATCTTAGCCAAGCAGATTATACCAACCAGGGCAATGCTTCCTCCATATTGTCTATTGCACATCTTTCCTTGAAAGGTTGCACCAACATAATCTGAGTTTTCTCTGTAACTTAAGTTTAGAAAAAAATAATAATCATATAATTTTGTTAAACTAAACACAATTAATATTGAATTTCACTAAAATACATGTTTGCATATTTATATAATATATTCATAGATATGTCTATGTAACATTAAAGTAACAAAGCATAAGAAGTGACTAAATGTGTCTCTTTCTTTTGAAAACAATAAAATAGATTTCAAAACAAATATTATAAAGTGTAATAGTATATGGAATTTTTTAAAAAAATGAAGATTCTTGTCTGGCCAGTGTGGCTCATGGTTGAGCGTCGACCCGTGCACTAAGAGGTCACCAGTTCGATTCCCTGTCAGGGCACATGCCCAGGTTGTGGGCCAAATCCCCAGTTGGGGGCATGCAGGAGGCAGCCAATTGATGTTCTCTCCCATCGATGTTTCTATCTCTCCCTTCCTCTCTCTCTAAAATCAATTTTTAAAAAAAGTTTGAAAAAATCAATTAATTAAAAATAAATATTCTGTTTTGTGAAGCATTCATTATATCAAAATAAAAAAATTACATAAAATTTCTTAAAATTAAAAAATTAGTCAATACAGTTGATAAATGGAAAGTCACCTATGGACTGAAGTTTCTTTCCTTTAACTCAGAGAATTAGCTTGCCAGAGTCATGCAAAGTTATGGCATATTTGCAGGGCAGAAAATAATATTAAAAATTATGATTTTTAAATATATGTATGATTTTATTTAATGTAATAACTTATACAGGTTCTGGATATTGATAAAAGAAAAGCAATAAGCTTATTAAATAGAAAGAGAGTCTTAAACTTTTTAAATAGAAGCATGATGTGAATGTGGTATGTCAGAGATGTTTTAGTATACAACAGTGTTTCCATTTCCTTGTTGTTTCTGTTTTTATTTTATGGAAATAAAGCATTAAGAAAAGCCCAAATTACTATATTCATAAATTCAGGTACATTTATTCAGATAGATATTATTAATATTTTATGTATAGTTAGGGACACTATACTCTAAGGTAAGAAGTCATACGGCAACAAGATTGGAGTGAATTTTAAATAAAAACAAATAAATAGAAGGATATCAATAATTCTATAAAACTCATGTTGTGAAAAGTAATATTCACATGATGTTGTATGTAAGAAAAATGACACAAGATTTTTTTTCTCAAAAGACCTGTCAACTGTCAGAAATTAGATCAAATATGGATATATTTTCTTTGTATAAGATTTAGTAATGTCAAGATATGCTTACACCAGTAAAAATGCCATATCATGTGGACGCAAAACAAGGTAAGATCTTTTCCATTTTAAAAATCTGTGTAATAATTCATTAACATCTCCAGTTACTGGAATTTTATTTTCATCTATCCAAAATTCCAATGAAGATAGAACTATTGTAATATTAAATGAAGTAAAAATCTAAAATAGAACACATAAAGAAAATATATTCAAATATATGGTCTAAATAGATTTGGAAATTAACTGTGAAAATAAACACTATACTGATAACAAATATTAAACAATTGAACTGTAAGTCTGTTTTGAATTTTATAATATAAATAATACATATTACTAATAAAACAAGTTATAATTAACATTTAAAAAACCTGTACTTAAGCAAACCCCATGTCAAATGCTACATTTAATTTAATACTTATAATAACCTAATTAAGTATACACAAGTTTTATTATTTCTATTAAACAGTTCAAAAACTGAAACTTAAAATGGTTGTATAATTTCCCCTATTCACACAAGATGTGCATTCAGGCAGGGTCATAAAAGAAACTATGGGCATTTTTTAAGTAGCACAAGCAAATGCAAAAGTACTAAAAGGCAAACACTTACAGCATTAGTCAATCCAATTAACTGGAACATTTTTTGAGTGACAACAGCCGTATCAGAACCCATATAATTGTACTGAAAAAAGATAATCACACATTTTAAATCTAATTATATATTGCTTAATATTTAATGATTGTCATTTTATTTAAATTTTAATATACTGATTTTTAAATGTTTAAACTACTAATTATTCATTTTTAAGTATTAAATCTTATAGAAATAATATGATATATAGTCAGTGTAAGAAATGGGATATATTAAAAAATACAAAAAGACACTATAAACTCCCAAAAATAGAAGAGGAAGGACCTTCCAAAGTCATTTTCCAAGGCAGGCATTACCCTGATCCCAAAACCAGACCAAAAGACTACAAAAAAAAAGAAGATTACAAGCCAGCATCTTAAAAGAATCATATACCATGAGCAAATGAGATTGATTCCATAGATGATGCAAAATGATTAAACATTCACAAATCAGTTAATGTGGTACACTACAAAATGAAGGGAAAAAGTCATATAATCAACTCAATTGATACATAAAAGCATTTGACCAAAATTCAACATCTTTTCATAATAAAAACTCTCAACAAAATATGTATAAAAGGAACATACTTCAACATAATAAAGACTATATATAACAGGCCCATGGCCAAGATCATAACCAATGGAAAAGTTGAAAAATTTTCCCCTGCAATCAGGAACAATACAAGGATGCCCAGTCTCACCACTTTCATACAGCATAGAACTGAAAATTTAGCCAGAGAAATAAGCAAGAAAAATAAATAAGATGCATCCAAATTGGAAAGGAAGAGGTAAAACTGTTATTATTTGCAGATGTCATGATGTAGAAAGCCCCGAAGCCTTCATCAAAAAACTGTTAGAACAAGTAAACAAGGACAGTAAAGTTGCAGGATAAAAAATAAATATGCAAAACTAAGTTTCATTGTTATATGCTAACAGAAAAATATCAGAAAGAGTAATTAAGAAAACAATCCCATTTACAATGACACCAAAAGAAATAAAATACCTAGGCATAAACTTAACCATGGAGGTTAAGGATCCTGATGAAAGAATTGAAAAAACCCAAATGAATGCAAATATATTTAATGTTCAAGAACTAATATTGTTAAAATGTTTATACTACACAAAGAAATCTACAGATTTGACACAATCTATCAAAATTCCAATGTCAATTAGGAGTCATAGAACCTTCAGGAGGAGGTGAAAAGACAAGATGGCTTGAGAGATTTAAGAGTAAATATTTTAAATTTTTGTTTTCATTTATATGTAAATTTTTTAACCAAGCTTATAGATATAGAGAAAAAATTGGTGGTTGCCAGAGGTACAGTGTGAGGATTTGGCAAAATAGGTGACGGAATCAAAAGGTTCAAGCTTTCAATTATAAAGTGATTAAGTTAGGAGGATGTAATCAACAGTACAGCAACTATAGTTAACAATGCTGTACTGTATATTTGCAAGTTGTTAAAAGAATAGATCTTAAAAGTTCTCATCATAGGAAAGTAAAATTCTGTGACTATGTATGGTGATAAATGTTAACTAGATTTATTATGGTGAGTATTTTGCAATATATACAAATTTTAAATCATTATGTTGTACACCTGAAAATATAACACTGTATGTCAATTATCCTTAATAATAAAAGAAAGAGAAAAAGAGAGCTATTCACAAGTTTTAATCAGGGGATTGATACAGTGTGATTTATGTATTAAAAAGATACAAAGGTCCTAGATTTATTAAGTGTTGTAAAGTGTATTATCATTATAAAATGAATCGGGAGCTTTCTAAAGAGTTTAGAACATTGATTGTTGTATTTTGGTACGTGTCAGGCTCATCTGGAAAGCCAATAAAGTATCAGACACCTAGATTTTTTGAAGTTCCAGGGTCTTGGCCTCTGTTTGTTGTGTTTTCCCAAGTGTTCTAGGTGATTTTTATTCATCCCAAAGTTTGAAAACCACTAGATTACACATCAGTGCAATTATATGCTACTTAGAGATTAGATAAAAATGTAGTTATGAGCTCAAATTTCCTGGTGAGTTTTTAATGGTAGTTCTTTAATTATCTTTCTAGTTTCTTCTGTAGTAATTGATCTATTTGATAAAATTATAGAACAACTGCACTCATGAATATAAATACAAAAATTCTAAATATTAGTCCAGCAATGTATAAAAAGAATAATGTAATGATGAAGCAAATTTATTTTCCAGTACTCCAAGATTCAACATCAATAAAATATGTAACATTATCTATTATATCAACAAACTGAAGGAAAAAAACCTGCATGGTCATAATAATAAATGCTGAGAAAGCATTGATAAAATTCAGTAGCAATTCCTAATAATTCAAACAGTAGAAATCAAGTGGAACTACTTAAAAACTAAACACAATAATAATGGCAATATCAACAACTAAATAACAGTAATAAATATGACTCAAAATGGAAAAAACATTTCAGTAAAAATCAGGAATTATATAGCTTGCCTGCTATTCCCCTCATTATTCACCATAGGGAAGTTTTCATGAATGCAAAACACAAAAATATTACAAAAAAACTGCTACAAACATTCCAAAAGAAGAAATAAAATTATATCTTTGAATTCATATTTTGTACTAGAGAACACACGAGGCTTTAGTAAAACTGTCATTATTAAGATAAAATAGTAAGGTGGCTGGATATAAGAGCTATCTATAAAAATTAATCATGTTTTTTTTATTTGCTATGAAAAATTTATTAACAATGCTGGAAAGTCTAAAGTACTTAAGAGTAAACAAAACAAAAAAGGCTGTAAATCTTTATTTAAAAAAAAAATCATAGTAATCTTATTAACAGATATAAAATTAATCTAAATAAACCAAATGTCTGTGCTATTCTTGAAGACTTCCTATCACAAACTTGCTTATTACCCTACATTAGTATTAATTGTAAAGGCCATCTTATTAGAGTCCCAAATTTGGGTGGGAGGATTGACAAAATTAACATAAGTTTTATATGTAAGAATAAGGGCCTGAGAGAAAGTATGCAAGAGAAGAATGAGTACGAACAGAGTGGAGATTTGTTTGCTAGATATCATTATACCAAAGCCACTGTAACCTAGTCAGTATGGTATCAGATTCTGAATAGACACATAGATTAATGGGACACCAAATAGAGAATCCAATTACATATGAGACTTTAATATTTAATAATGGTGTTGGCATAACTAGCTATTTTTCTGAAAGAAAATAAAAGTAAACATCCATCTTAAGCCAGTTTATCTTATGGCATACATAAAAATACACTCCAGATATATCAGAGTTAGATGCAGAGAGATTTAGAAAACTACATGTACAATATAAGAGTTAGGAATACCTTCTTGATGAGAAGCTCAAAACTGTTGAAAGAATGTGAAGGCATATTTGTATATAATAAAATTAAAAAATATATATATATGTATATATATATATATTACATAAAAATAAAAGCCCACAAAGTCAATTATTCAAGGCAATGCTTTGATATGCGATTCCAGATAATAAGCAAAGCATGAATATTTTTAACATCTAAAGATTTCTTATAAGTTGACAAGAAGGCAAAGAACCTTTAGGAAAACAAGCAAAAGAAGTAAATTGTCAATCAGAGAAAAGCAAGTATGAGTGGCCAGTAAACATTAATTTATATTGAAGTGAACTGTGATTTAAGACAATAAAAATTCCAATGTGATAAAATTTTATACTAATTGACTGGAACAATTTTTTAAAAATAAAACAGATGGTTGACAGACGTGAGGAAAATAGTATTTTCAGTTTTAACTTGAAGAGGTAAAAAGTTAAAATAGTTTCATAAATCGATAAACAGAAGAGAAAGTCTACAAACTTGTGTCACTTTATCAAACACTGAACTTGGAAATTTAGTCATATTCTCTGCTGTCCTTGATGTTACTATGAATGATATGGTGGTCCAGTCTAACGTTAGTTTTTCAATTGTACATGTTGAAACTCGCTCAAAAATGTGACTACAAATTCCAGCCCACATCATCAATTTTCATCAATACTTGTGTTTTTTCATCAGCTAATAAGCATTCTCCCACATTGTAAACAAAGCAAAACAATTAATAAACAGGTTCCTTTCTCTTAGCTAAGATGCCACCATTTTGCTTTCTCCTTATTTAAAAAAAAAAAAAAATTTTTTTTCTTCATTGATTTTAGATTGAGAGGAAGGGAGAGAGAGAAACATCGATGAAAGAGAACATCGATTGACCACCTCTTGCACGCCCCCCATTCGGAATCTGGCCCACAATCTGTGCATATGCCCTGACCAGGCATTGAACCAGAGACCTCTTAGTATATGGCTCAACCACTGAGCCACACCAGCCAGGCCCATTTTGCTTTCTTTAGTCAAGCACTATATAACAGTGTTTCTGTCACCAACAGACCACACATATGACAGTGGTCCTATTAGATTATCAGTGCCTGCTAAGGTTGTAGTTATCCTAGTGTTGTAGCACAATGCACTGCTCATGTGTGTGTGATAATGATGCTGTAAACAAACTTACTGTACTGTCAGTTGTGGAAAAGGATAGCATTTCTAGTTAAATACAGTACATAATACTTGTAAATGATAACAATTGTTATCTGTGTATGTATTTATTATACTTTTTATCATCACTGTAGAGTGTACTCTTTCTACTTATAAACAAAATGTTTGCTATAAAACAGTATGGCGTGTTCTTTCAGAAGCAGCAGCGTCATATATCTCATGTTCACAGTGTCCTTGATTGTATCATTTTCCCTTGGTTTGATTTAATCTTGTGTTGTTTTATAAATTTAGTGTAGCCAAGTGTCCAGTTTATAACTAGTCATCTACAGTGATGTCCTAGGTCTTCTCTTTCACTTACCACTTACTGCTTTGGGGAACCCTATCAACACCACTAGCATATCAAAAAATGTAGATTTGTTTTCTGCCATGTGGAATAGAGAGGAGATGTGACAGGTGAGACACCTGTGGGCCAGCCAACTCCAAGCAAAATCAGTAGTTTACTAAAGATGATGCATAAGTGAGACCAGTTCAGCACACAGATA